TATCATAGATCAACCTTCACTTCTATCACAAGAATCCAGAATTGTAATACCAAAGCAATGAAAGATGTCAAAGAATTTAATTTCATCAAAAATTCATTAAAGTGAATTTATTTTTATTGATTCCAATTATCGTTAGATACTCTGGCTTTGAAAAATCAATATTCTTACTTTTTAGAAACATAATATTTCTAATATTCAAAACCATCTAACATCACAAAAGCTATACTAATACAAAGCAACTCTAAATCTAAGTCCTGATGCAATTTGTCTATCAAAGGTACTTATAGAATGGATATATGTAATTAAGCTACTTGATTTAAAATCCTTTTTCAGTATCTACTTTATGTTTTTTCATGAGAAAATAAAATTAGACAAAAAATTTTAAGGTAATTACCAAAATATATCTATCCTGAGTAATTTCCAAAAGTTTATTGCAGGGTTGTAGGAGAAAAACTACACCTATTAGGAAAGAGGGGAGGGGAGAAACAACAGAAAAGCCTTTGAGATATTTAAAATCTTAAGCAAATACTAAATATGAACATAAGCCTCAAGATTAAGAATTAGTCAATATATCTGGTATCTGATAGAATAGTTGAGCAGTCAGGGCAAGGGAAGCCTTGATGATTACACAGAAAAGAGGAAAATTTTTGATTCTTATTTACTTATTCTAACCAAGAATATTCCCTTCAGTGAGATGTTTTTAGAAGAAAATATTACATCTAGGTAGATGGTGATGCACATCAAATCAGTTTTTGAAAGGTTGCTACACCTCTAGTACCATACTAATGTTTAATAAAGTTCAATCTGGGGAACAGGAGTACAAGAAATTTGTAATTCAGTTTCAATTGAGACATACCAGGTGAAGTTGATGCATAAGTGTAATAATTTACTCATTTACAAACTGATTAAACATCTCTTTCTTAGGAGATAAGTATTTCCTGAGAAAGATTAATCTTATTCTCATATAAGCACCTATTAAAAAAATCAAATTAAACTCATTCTGATCTCAAATGCCTACTTATACAGGTTTAAACTGAGCTGCTCATCATTTCTGATCCTATTATTACAATCCAAAGCATCCACCTCCCCTGAGAAAATAGTGAAAGTGTTACAACAGCTTTTGAAAAGATACTATGGAGTCATAGTCTGATTCATACTGAGTTATTAAATTGCTGGATTTTACAAATGCAGTAGCCTGCTTGTAATAGCAAACAAAAAGGCTGAAAGAATGTGTGATACTCCAAAGCATAATAGGACTGATATAAACCAGCTGGTGAAACAAACCAATTAAGCACTGCAGAACAGTCATAAGTACTTTTTTCTATATATCAGTGATCACAGACAGCTGTGTAGATGACATAACACTGATGTCAAATGAAATTGCCAATCTAATCGCTGTCACATAGTTATCCTTTTCCCAGTCTACTTTCCTCTGCAATGAACATAAATTTCAGATTAGAAGATAATTCCTTTGCTAGCAAAAGAGATAGAAATTCTGGAAATACTTTGCCTGAGAATGTGCCAGGTAATAATTATAAGTTGCTGCTGAATGAATGAACTTACAACAATAGTACTGTGTTTCAGTGAACAACTTTAATCCTAAGAAAGAAGGGATTCGAATTTATGTCAACAGCGCACTTTCAGTAAAGTTTGCAGGTGGGTTTTAGGCTTTGGAATTTTGTCACACATATAGACACAGACTTATATATATACACACACCAGTATGTGTATAGATTGATAAAGAAAAAAAAAACTTTTAGGCTGTGAAACTGTGAGGTACTGTGACTCATACATTTGATGGGATGCTTTTTGAGGGCAGACATAAGACAGCCATATGCACCAATCTCTCCAGCAACTACTTAAGAGTAATTGCTGCAGTACTTAGCTGATGCTAGCAAATCCTGCCTTGTCGTGGACTCTAAACACTATGCATACAAAAATTAGCAGCACTTCTAGTTGTCTCTGAGTGAAGGCAGAACAGGCTTTTATTGCCTGTGGGGGATTACACAGACTTTGCAGAGTGCATTCCCACACAGCAAGGCTGGGAAAGGGGTTGAGCTGAGCAACATCCTTTTATGTCCAAAACTTGAGGAAACTGTGTCACTGAACAGACTAGATAATTGTCATGCATCTTATTCCCAAAGCAGTTATCAACAGCTAAAATCTGCATTGTTAGGCATTTACTCTTAAATGTCTAGTCAATTTACACCAGATAACAGAATCCATAGCACAGCAAATAATTAAACTAGATTATCTGCTCAGCAAGTTATAGATTAAGCTACTAGAATACTCTGTCTTTTGCTGACTTAAAATGAATGAAGGACAATTTTTTTGCTACTAGTGGTTGCTCTTAAAGACAAGAAACACAGCAAATACATGAAATTGTAATGCTTGCTTAGTTTTGGAATAAAGTTTTCTTGCTACGCAGAAGTGTCTTTCATTTCTACTTGATAAATTTGATTGAAATGCATTCAATTTCTTTTTATCCCTAAAGGCAAAACAGTCGTAATAAGATGTGTAATATATTTTCATCTCTTATGTCATATTAGAAAATTAACAGAAAGAAAATGTGAAAGGCTAGTCATTCCAGGCATATGCAGCCCATTAATTAAATAAGTCTGCAGTAGTTGCTTATGCTATTTATGAAAGCCTTATGAGCTTGTGTGGTGCTGTGCTTTTTGGATGTCATTTTCAGTCATTATACCCCAGTGTTGCAGAGTATTCTAAATTAATCAAGAGCTACTTAAAGACAAGAACAGGAATACCATTATGATTAACCCTCAGTGCTTTCAAGTATATAAGTTCAGGTACCTAAAAGTTCCTACAGAACAAAGCACCAACCATTAAAATCTGCTATAAAATTTAAGGAACACTTATTGTGTACTGGGACTTGAATTAATCAACTTTAGAATTAATTAAAAACTTAATATAATGTTAAAGCAAAAGAACTATGAAAGAAATTAAATATAATAAACAAATACTTTCTATTGTGACTATTTCAATCAGTGAAATACTTTAAGGCCAACTCTGTGCCAACATAGAGCAAGGATATTATGTTTGATAAAACTCTTTTAACCACTGGCATTAGAAGCTAAGGAAAAAAAATAATTAAAAAGTACAATAATGAGTTTATTAGTTGTTACATATTTTTAATCTATTTTCCCATGGAAATCAACACCAGTTTTGTTTCTGTCAGTGTAACATTTTCTAAGACACACCCACTGTTGCATTATTGTTATTTGAGAAAATACTTCTACTGTTTTGGAACTCATCCTAATTAACTGCTCTAGTGATATGTTTAGTAAATTTCAGAGTCAGCACAGACTTTTTACCTCTTTGAGGTACAGCCTCTGTGATCTCATGATAATTCACCTTTTCACATACTTTGTTGTTTGCTTGCTTCCCTAAACATGATATAAAATAAATATAATGATAAGAAGAATTAGTAAAATTCCCGACTTAACACGACTGCAACATGACTTAATACCACTGATGTCACCAATTAAATGAGTATAATTTTCCAATCTGACAATAAATTCAAAAGAACAAAACACATTGCATATGAGTGAAAAGGATAGCAAAAGCTCATCAAAATATCTGTGTGGAGAACAGGAAGGCTCAGTGAAGATTCACAAAATTTCAAAACTACTACATTATGTCAAGCAGTAATTAAGTTATTCAAAAGAAAATTAGAAAAAGTTAAATTTCGCCACACCTTTCAGTTTTCTGAAACTGAGAATATTACAAGATCTAGATAAAATTATGAAACTTGGTGGATGTATAAGGGAATTGAATAGAGCAGTAAAATAAATTTATAATTTTAATAACAATTACAAATATCACATAAAAACTGCATCTATCCAATATTTAAAGAAGGAACTATTTCTCAGTAATCACAAGGAAATACTGGCTAACATCATATAAAACTGTCTGTTTATAGAAAAGTCATAGAGAACAAAATCTGTAGCTCATTTTTTTCTTGTGAGGCACAATTTATTGTCACGAATGTCATAATTCTTACCTGGGCTTTTTTTCTCATTGGGTCTAATGACAAACAAAAATGGAGAACTGATTTCTCCGGTGACAGTGCAATTTTTCCAGATGAAAGAATAGATTTCTTCTCAGTAAGGTATCTCGGATGCAATATCATTTCACTTCTCATTTTCCCAGACCATGTCCATAAGCCAGAGACACAGGAAAGGAATTTTTATTGGGTTCTAGTCCTTCAAAAATGCATCAGACCTTTTTAATTGAAATCACTTGTTTTAGTAAGATAACAGCTTTCTGGTTTTTCTCCTCCATCAATGAAAGAAACAGTGAAAACATGGGTTTCTCTTAAGAAAACTGCCTGGAAAATTTCTCCCTATGTTCTATTGAAACAAGTACTTTTCTGATTAGCATTAATAAGAAAAGGTATTGCTTTTTAAGGCAATTTTAAGGATTGAAAACAGAAAATACAAAATGAGAATTCTCCATGATTGGTCCATTCTTTTTTATTCTCTCTTCTAATGATTGGACTCGTTTTCTATTCTTGTGTTAGTAAATACAAGTAAACCTTAGAACAAAGTTCTAAAAAAATGGATAGTGACTTTGACTAAAGAGCTATAGCCAAGTGACACTGGTAAGCAAACTGACAGCTCCAGAAATTTTGTGTGGCAGAATTTGCTACTTAGTTTAGTTTCATCTAAGGTCTCCCTGAAGGCAGTAGGGTTAATGCATTTCCCTCAGACTAACAGGTAAGTGTGTGCTTGGAAATAATTTTTTTTTTCTTGTAGAGGAATAGTTTTAAATAAGCTTCTGTTGACAAAGTAGTATAGGATGCTCTGGTATAATTATTTCCTGGTATAGTTATTTTCTGGTATAGTCCTCAGAAAAGTGAGAGAAAGTAAGCTGCAGACCATTACTTAATTGTTTTACTATTAGCAGACAGCCTCTAGGCTTTTCCTAATTTTTCTTCTGTTCCCCAATAAGTCACTGGGTATATGTTTACCATATAACAGGAAAGCCTTCTCCTAGTGGTTGTCACCACACTGGAAGTGAACCTTGCCAACAGTCATCTCTCAAGGTGAAAGGATGAGCATGAGTAGTTCTCAGTGAATTGCTTTGGGTAGCTCTTGAGCAGTAAGGTGAGACCTCTTTCATATCTCTGACATTAACTGTCTTACCTGCCTCATGGGAAAATCCTGCTAGTGGAGTCATTTGCCTCTGAACTTGTTATCAGTTTCCCTTTGGCTTTAATAGAAGCATCACAGAATCAGCTGGTGGCAAGCAGGATACACACAGAAAGGTACCTCAGCGGATTAAATTCCCAGTGCCTTTCTTCTAAACAGCTTCCAGATGCTTCCTTTAAGCCCTAGACAAATACGATGCATAAAAGTACCAGGTGCTCAGGGCTAGGATGCTGAAAAGGTCATGAGCACTTACAGCTCCCCTTGACTTCAGGTGCAGCTGAGGGTGCTTAGCAAGACTCAGAAGGAGGTTGGCAACTTACAGCAGATTAGAACTACATTCTAAAAAAGTTCCTCTCTTTTTGTTTTCTTTTTTAGAATGGCATGTTACTCATAAGATACTTATTGCCTTAATTTGATATCTCCTAACAGCTTTAAATAGTAATTAGCAAAACCATTCTGCAAAGTAAACAAATAAAAGTTAGACTTGTTAGTAAATAACAGAAGGACAACTGTATGTTAGGATTTAATTATAAGAAAAAAGTTATACTTGGCAGAAGGCATCTGTAATTTGTGATTTCATCATTTTTTAAAGCTTCTTTTAATGGATTAAAATCACTTCTGGCAGTTTTTTCCCTTATGCTGCTATAAATCACAACTAAACCCAAATCTCTACTTTAAGGAAGATAGCTGTTAGAAATGTAAACAGAAATCTGTGAATAGGAATAAGTAAAAGTAATATCATGATTGCTGCACTTTTTAATAGCCAAAGTATTTCATAAGATGCTTTAAGTTGCTGTAAAACAAGTTTTCACATCTTTGCAGCTGTTTTATGTGTACCTCAAGGAATATGAATACATTCAGATAGTCTTAAAAATAGGAATATATTATATCCAGGTAATCTTACAATGTTTTAATCATTATCATACCACTGTAATGAATGGGAAAAAATGTGGAGTTTTTTGGTTTGGTTGATTGGTTGGTTATTTTTGGTTTGGTTTTGGTTTGGTTTTAATTAAATGTCAGAAAGCTTTTGGTTAAGCCTGCTAATCTGTAAACAGCTAGATGTACTTTTCTGAGATATACACTGCAGAACTGTAGCAATCAGCCTTAGGAAGAAATAAAAATGAAAGGTTCTTTCACATAATTTTTCTGGTTTTGAACATTGTTTGGTTTTCCTTTTTTTACCTCTGTGTTAGTTTGTGAGAGTCAATATTAATAATCCAAGAAAAATGTGCACTGTAGAGAGTTTCTATGACACATGCTGGTGTGTTGAAGTGACAAACCAGCACTATAAATCTATATTCAAAATAAGAAAGAACAGCATTACAATCTTGTTGATCACTAGCATAAATATCTATTAGTCCTTAAGTCTGGTAGGATGAAGGTAGTAGGAATCTAATCTTTCCAGAAATATAATTGGTATAATGCCAGAGCATGTCTCTTATCTATATATTAGGACTGTGACTTCAAAAACTTGAACATTTATAGCTAGATGGTATGAATTCAAAGAGCTATTTATAGAAAGCATAGTTTGCATAAAAAATGCAGCAAAGAAGTATCAGAGAATTTTGTAAAACCAATTTATATGTACAGGAAATATAAATAATGTCTATAGACAAAATATCATTCTGTATATTTTTGTTTTGTTTTCTTGGGCTATAATGGATCATGAAATATATAAAATGTATAGTAGTTCAGCTATTTCAGTAAGGGAAACACCTCAGGGAACTATTGTGCCAGAATCTGAAATACAGCTATGATCCCATTGTGCCACTCAGCTGCTACAAATGAACAATAACCCAGTTGAAAATTGCTGGCAGAGGATTTCCTGTCTTCGGTGAATTCTCTTCTGACATATATATATCATTCCCAGGCAGTATAGTTTTATCTCTTCAGTGTGAAAAGACATATCTCAAGAGTAAGAAAGTTGGTGGTACAGTCTTTCTATACTCTTTCTCTAGTGATATAAAAACCCTACCAAAGTTCTGAAGCACCAGTAGAATTGGACCCAGGAGCTCAAAAGAGTTGAGACAGGCTCAGACCCTTCATATCTTTTATCCCCTGTGTTGAATCAGTCACAGGTAAAGTAGTTGTTCTCTAAGAAATTTTCCTTCATATACTTCATTTTTTATAAAATTTTAAAATTAAAAATGCATTTTCAACCAATTTGTATTTGTAGCATAGTGCAACCACTGCATTTACTATGCTAGTTACAGAACAGATGGGATTTTTTTTTTTAATATGGGGATTTTCACCAGTAAGATATCTATTTTGTCTATCATATGAAGACAAGGAGAATTTTTGCAATAAAAACAAGTATGTTCTCTGTAGTTTTGTATCTTGTCTTATCAGACAATTTACCCTAATGGCCATTGCCATATATCTTGTTCTATCTCTCCTCCTTCTTTTGAGATCTCTTTTTTTTCCCTTAACGTACATCATGAAAACAAAACCCCCATGGTCATGTTTATTTGGGTATTATAACTTCTAAAGGATACAACAAAACTGCCAGTCTTGTCAGTGGCGGTAGAGCTTCTCTTTAATTAAATAAAAACTGGGATTGTTCTCCCCCCCCTAAAATAAAGGAAACAAAATTCTGAATAATGTAATTCTCTCTGACATTTCAGCATGAATGGATGGAGCTGTTATCCACCCATTAGGAAATATTAATGTACAAAGCATGACATTTATAGTAAATATAAAATCTGTAGTCATTTGGAATCTAGAATTGTCCATGGTTACAGCTCTACATTAGTGGTAAAAGCTTGCAAAAATAAAAAAGTAAAATCATTAAACGCTCAAACACAAGACAGCATGATAGAACAGATTTTCATTTATTAAATTCAAGAAAGATGTAAATGGTCATGACATCTAACATTGTTGAATAATAACAGTTATTAAGGTAGGCCAGGATGAAGGTAATTACATTAATATGCAGTATTGATTGGCAAAGAAAACAAGGAAATAACTGTGTAGGCTTGAAGTCTACTTATAATGCTCACATGTATGTGACTGTGTGACCATTGAAGGGCAATGAGCAATTTCTAGATAAAATCTGCATCATTATTCTCATACTGCAGGAAGAAAACATAAAGCATAAAGAAAGAGAGCAAACAGCGTAGTCACTTAAATAGAGTGTCAGAGTTAAAAGGAAAACCTGGAGCCTTCCTTTGGGAATGGAGAGAGTACTAACACCTCAGTCATAACTTAAATGCCATAAAAATGGGGAACACTGAAGCCTTTTCAAGGGTGTTTGAAATGGTAAAATTGAAGAAAATTACTTTGTAACTGTTCATGATACTTTATGATATAGGAAAATATTTAATAGTAGTATCTGGAGGAATTAAAAAATCTAAATAGGTCAAGATTTCAAATAAGAGAAGAGGAAAGAAAAATGGAAAGGGAAAGAAAAAGGAAGGATACAAAATAATAGATAAAAAAACAAAGGGTGCAGCACTTAGCTCCACGAACGAACAAGTGAACCCAAAGTACATGATATGTTGTGTTATGGAATTACAAGCATAATGGTGCACTGATGGATGCACATGACTCAACAATATACCCACAGAATTACAAACAGTTTTTTCACATCTCAGGAGGTCTTCAAGGCTTTGTTTTTTCATGTGTCATAAACTGTTGGGTTAAATGCAAATCTCTCAAGAAAGGGAAAAAACCCAAACAAATCAAATTATTCCAAAGGCCTGTAAAATTGTATTATAATTTCATATAACTACTGTGAAATGTCTTTTTGTACAGGGGGAAATGAGAAGTTTACGTTCAAGAAGAAATTGCTCTAGAAAATAATGAAGTTATATATGCCTGGATAGAAAGAGAAAAAAAAAAAGAAACCCAAAGCAAAAAAAACTCTAAATATTGCATGAGTTTAAAATACATTGCATGCAAAGACAGGTTTTGCAAAATTTATTTTTAAAGGTTCTGTATCTTTGAGTTCACTGAAACACTAAGATATCAAATAAATGTCCTTGTCATCGGAGAAAAAAAACCAAACCTCTAAAATAACTGCTATATGTATATGAAAAAATTGCTTGATGCAGCATTTACATTAAAACTTTCTTTCAAGGTGGTAGATTGCATTTTTTAAAAAATAAACATATTTGCCAAAGTATATGTATAAAAAAATGGAACATATTATAGTGAATGTTAATATATTATTTGTTTTCTACACAAAAGAAGCTATTTCCTCTCTGTGTACAATTTTCCCAGACCACTTTGATTTTAATATTCTACACTGAGATTTGAGTAAAAATGTTACGAGATCCAACGCAAGGTGAAAGTCAGTTATAACCGAATACACCTTAAGTATGCTCATGACTAAAAATGCTTATGGTACAAGTCTTCTTAAACAGGAGAACGTTACAGGGAAAATAAAAGCAAAAACAAACAACAAACTAAGTGAGCCCCTTCCAGTGTATTCTAATATAAAATTGAACTAATAAAAGTGTCTGGGTTTAGTCAGAAAAAAAGAAATAAAGGAGGCCACGTTATACTTTCAGTGAACATCATATGTAAGTTCTCAGGTATAGCACCCTTGTTTTCAACATTCAGGGTTACCCAAAGAAAAAAAAATCCATATCCAGATGACAATTTACAAAATACTGATAAAAAATTTATTATTCTTTTCATAAACTGAGTTTACTGTGTTACTTCCATCTCTTCACCTGTGCTGTATATTTACAGGAGTTTAACAATTAATTGTTTGGTATCTATTCACCTAATCATGAGTCCCTAGTTGCATCTATGTGTTCACTGGTTATTTACAAAATACATGTATAAAAGAGAAGCATAATTAGCTAGAGGTGTTTTCTACATGCCTAATGGGGAATGGGAACTGTGCTAATAAATAAGTTAGACCAGGGGAAAGTTTTCATACTACTGGTATGCCCAGAGTGTCTTAAAATACCACCTAATCATCTCAGGATTGTTTAGAAGTTTCATTATGATGTTTTATAACACTAGGAAAAAAAAAAAAACAACAACTTAATTTTCTCAAAGTAAAATGCTTTGCAAAATTCCTCAGTTTTGGTGAAATCTACAAACCACTGTTCTGCAGCTTATCTGGAAGGTTAACTCAGCTTTGAGACAGTTTCTTCAAAGAATCTCTTGACCTCCTGTCAAATAGAACATCATGCAGTGAGGGTCCCCACTTCTCTCCCTGGAGCAATGAACTTTGCAAACTGTTTTGGAGATGGAAAGCTATGTTTCTTCTAACTTAGATATCCTCAGTTACTCTGCTGCATCAGAATTACAGATAACAAGAATATGGAAACTCATTTAGCAGATTTTTAAAATACACCAATTAGATTACACCAAATTATTGTTTAAAAAAAATCACATGAAAAAATAATGTTAGAATTTTCTAGTTGAAGTCTTTACAGTGTCACAGACCTTAGTTTGACTTCTTGAGAGAGGGATGGTTTAATTTCTTACTAATGTGCTATTGAAGATTATAGTTTTATGTCTAAAACCAGCATGACATTATGTACGGATAAATTATATACTTCAAAGAAGAAGTGTTTATTTATTGGTAGATTTGCCTGCTTTAAGCTAATGATTTAAAGTTGGTATTTGGAACTTTTAAACTTGTGAAGATAATTTGTAAATGATCACACAGACATTATAGCATCAGAATGCTCATCTGCATGGTAAGAATTAGATGTACTGGCAGTCATGCTTGAACTGTATCCTCCCCTGATTTGCTGGGAGATGTAGAAACACTGTGAGGGAGATGTTTGTTATTCATTCATCTGAGTTTAAAGTAAAATGTTTCTGCAATATAATGTGTGTTATGCTTGTGTGTAATAAAAATATTAAAAGAAATTTCACCATGTACAGAAAAATAGGCCCGGGGATATAAAAGATGGAAGCAAAAGGTTCTGTGCATAATTCCTTAATTGTGTGTAGCATATCTCCAGAGAATCTACATAAAAATGAATACATTAAAACTGTGATCTTTAGTATTGCATTTACAGTACTTTTTAATTTATTTGGTATTTGAGATCAGTTCTATGAGTATATAAGCCTTAGGAGAAAAAATTCTAGTTGTTTGCAAAGAACAGAGAGTGACAACTGACTGATCAAACTTTCTGGAGCGGGAAAGTTTACAGCTGCTGTCTCCCAATTACAGTGCTTTACCATAGTATTTTTAATGCTGTGGATTAAAACCTTGCAGTTTTTTACACAGGACTGTGAAAAACTCTTCACCCAACTGGTTCCTGGGAGATTAATCAGAGTTGTGTCATTGGGATGATCCTTTTCATCCTTCATTTGAAATTGCCTGGAAAGGAGTGAAAAAAGTATCACGAAGGGAGCTTTCTAAATTTCCAGGGATAAGGTATGTTTACTATATGTCCTGTGATTCCTTGATCTCCTTTTTCTCTGAGTAACCTGAGTGCATTCTCAGGGTCATAGAAGTATGGCATACCATGAGAAAAAGTGCAAAACAGAATCTCGTCAAGTCCAGAGAGACAAAGTGATTCTGGTCTACCTGTCTGAATGCAAATGTCAACAGTGTAAACATCTCTGTCACACCCATTTACATATATTTACATATATTCCTTCTACAGTCAGTGGAGATAAACAGGAAAGTCTAAGGTATGATTCATATCATCTTAAGTAGAAGTTTAAAATGCATGTAATGCTATCAGCTGAAGTATTTATTTCTTACCACTGATTTTAAAGAGACCATATACTAAGCTTAGAAATATCTAGAATGCAAATGCCTAAGGATATGTGATATTAATTCAAAGAATATTAACCAAATTTCTGCAAGAAACTCTAGACGTTTTCCAGTACCCTTTAGTACTAAACAAGACCATTTAAAATTAATATGTTAAAATGCATTGAGATCTGTCGATGCTCAAATTTCTCAGTTGGGAATGTGGAAACAAAAGACATAGCTTTTTATGATGTAGGGCAAAACTGAAGTTAAATGTTGGAGCTCTTGTGCTGGAGATATTTTGATGTCATCCAGCTCTAAATGAAAATGGAACCTCATATAATCTAAGTCCAGGATACAGGAACGTGTGTAACTACATATAGGTAACTATACTGTGGGAGTTGAATAGCATGAAATTTGTTACAGTAAATAGACTCTAGTCCAATAAAATCAAGTATGGATTTATAAGAATATTTTTTGAGACTATTAATGAATTTTTAATTAAAATTTTTGTTGAGGCGTTTAAGGCAGAAAATAGGTTTAAATACAATAAAATAATCAAACCTTCTGTAAGTGTTTAGCAGGAATGCCAGTTTTAAATCTGTTCTGGATTAATTATTTTGTTGAAATGCTACATGATCACGTTCCAAGTCAAGTAAACAAAAAAAACCGAGTGTGATTAATGTGCTCTATTGTTATTTTAAGGGGATAGAAACAAAACAATTTGAAATTGTAAGATTTTTATTTAAAAATTATTAAATAAATTATTCATCATGTTAGAGATCAGTTACGTATCCTTAGACACCAGTGTTGTACACAAGTTAGACTTCCTAATTTTATTCCAGATTAAGAAGGGAGAAATGGACACTTATCAAGCAAAATTAATCTGAAATATTTTAAACGTCTACGTTTAGCCAGGATTAATTATGTCCTGGAAATATACCATCTCATTTATTCTCTAACTATTAAGGCAGCACAGGGTTTTTAACACAGATGTATTTGACTCATTAATTTTTCCTCCTTTGCATCAATAAAATATATTGTCATATCTGTGACTGGCTTAGTGACAGCACAGCCAACTACCTCACTGCTAAAGGAGGTCACTTTTAGATCTTCTGTTTCCAGAGAAACTAAGAATTAATACATCAATTCTCTCATCAAGATCAAAATCTTCATCAGCTTTTGGTGGCTAAACTGATGATTCAGCCACTGACTGAATTCATTGAATCTCAATCATTCATGGACTAGCAAAATGAAAAATGCTTAATAAGCCAGGATGCTAATATGCTGCTAAATTTTCTGGATTCCTTTCCCAAGTGCGTACAATCTGAGTTCACTGGGGTAGCTTCTTTTACTTTCAAAGTACTGAAAGTTACCTTGTACTTTATGCCTTGAATTTTGGAATTGTCCACAATTCAGCTCACTAGATGAAACTTCATGAACTACTTTCCTGTATCGTAATGTCCTCATAACATCCCTCATATAGAAAAAACACTTAATTTAGTCATGGGCATTCTGACAAATGATGGCATTGTCTTTATTTTCATGGTGTCTTGCAAAAATCACTGAGATTCAGCACAAACGTCTGGTGATCTCTGGTGGTGATAGCAAGTGTCCTTACATGGGTACGTAGGCCATAATACTTAAGGACAGAGATAGCGTCTTGCTGAAGTTGCCATTTCTGCTGATATTATAGTGCACTTCTGCCCTAGAGTTGACGGATTTCTCCTTTAAGTCAGGCCTAATTTTTGTTTAATGCTAATTAACATGAATTCTCTTCTTATTTCTGAGAGTCTAATTGCTGATTTCTCTCTGGAATGGAATATTACTCTGATGAAACCTTTAGAGGGATTTTTTTTTTCTGAAGAGTTGATATCTTAATTATAAACATGATGAAATAAGTCACTGATACACAAAAATGACTTTCAGTTGCGTTTTTCTTAATTTAACTAGAAATAAATCCCAAGTTTTATGACATTTCTAAGCTGGTCCTTAGAGAAACTAGCTATACCATGCACAGGCTTCTATGAAAAAGGGTGGTGCTATGAAAAAGGGAGCACACATCAATTGATTGCTCTCAAAGGAGTGACACTATGTTTTCCTTTATTAGTTTCTAAATAACTCAACCCCTACTTGTTTTCAGTTAATTGATGGTAATTTAAAAAGACTTGCCAAGCGGACAGTTGAAGCAGCAAGCCCATCAGCAGAGGAAGGTCTTAGCATGCATCATCATCTACCGTCATCCTTCTACTTATCAGTTCTCCAGGGAGCCAGAACAGCTGGACAACAACATGTGTACTGCCCTCCAGGGCTGTCCTAGAAGGTGTCAGCCCCCACAAAAAAATATTCCATTGGGCAGAGATGTATAGAGAATTATTATGTTCCATGATTAGTAAGAGAGTTAAAAAGCTAAGACATTAATATCAGAATCACTACAGAAAAATAAACTAAAATTTGAAGGATTTTTTTGCATTCATAAGCAACCATCTTGTTCTTTGTTTTCTGTAATATATATAATCAGATAATTATGTGCTAATAATTTCATTTTGATTTTAGATATTGATCATGCAAATGTTTATGTATTAGCAAATGATTAGATTATATGCACAATGGACAGAATTAAGCACTTATCTGAAATTTGAGGCATTTTACTTTGTATTTGGGTGTTCTAAAGATGCCTGTTTCTTCAAATGATTCTATGTTGTCTATCTTAGGTGCAAATCTTTACAGTTCATCAGCTGAATCTAACCTTTAATCATTGCATCCTGATATTTCTATAATGCAAATTAGAGGGCCAGATATTTTTATATTGTTAGTTTATAAAATTTAGTATTGCTTTGAACTACTACTATATTACTTTAACATAGATCTTGGCTAAATTTTGAAAAGTAGTTTTCCTTGGCTTAATTATATTTATTAGTCTCATTTTTATCTTAGATGATGTCTTCTTAAGCTTTACAAATAAACAATCGAGGAGTGCATTATCAAGTATATGAAGATAAAAATTCTAATCGGAAAGGTAAGAAAGGGTTTTCAGAAATATTATCAAAATATGTGAGACTAACAATTCAGAAATTCAGATCAATATTCAGAAAAAAACATTAACTGGTAGATCTAGAAAAGAAACTTAAATATAGAAGTAGAATAGGCTAAACAATAAGAAAATAAAGGGCTTTCATGAGAAATCATTATATTTTATAATTACTATAATTAAGATAAAATATAAAGGTGAATTTCAGAACAAAATTTAGGTTATGGTTATGTAATGAGCTTTCTACAGGCAATTTTATACCTCCCAAAAATAAAATATCCTTTTAAATGTCTGACATGAGTGCTGCATGCTGAGTATCAGAGTGGATCACATAAAACCAGATCTTCAAAATTTACATATGGTAAAACCTTTTATGAATCCAAGTTTTTGGTTCTACATACAGACCACTGGCTAAGCCATAGTTTTTTCTTTTATAATGTTTGCTGGTATTAAAGTTTATTTTTAAAAGAAACGAAACCATAAAATATGTCAGAAAATATGTAATGATGTTTTCTCAGATATCTTTGTTCTTTATTCATTATAGGACTGATCGAATTTCTTTGGCACTCAGTAGCAAAATTCCCACTGACTGCCCAATGGAAATGAGGGTGGGCTTAATAAGTGGACATAATCTGTTACTCTGTCCTGAATATAGTAGTTATACTTTATTTGAATAGTGTAATTTCTTATTATACAATATCATATGGCCTCCTTGCATTGGTTTAGTTGTTTAATGTGTTTGAAAAATTTGCAGAATAATTGTAAATGCAAACATATTTACTGCCAAAAAGTAAAAGTACTTAGAATCTGTAAACTCTTGTGTTGTGAAAAAAAATCTCTTCAGCAAAGAACTTCATATACAATTGTGTAAAGTGTAGGCTACTATGATTAATTTTATCAAATTGTTAAGTAGAAAAGAGAGAGGAAGAGAGTGGTACGCAAAAACCAGTGATACAGTAGACTGCTCAGTTACTTGTTATCCTGAGCTGCTCCTCCAAAGCTGTTTGTTACTAGACTACATCTTGTTTTGACATAATCCTCTTAAGAATTGATCCCTCCTTGTAAATGCAGCTCACTTCAGAATGTAAGCAAATTGGTTTGCAAGGATTGATTGATACAGGGAAGTAAGCATTCATCATGCACCATAGTTGCCTGTACTAGAAATGTGAAAGGATGACATTTTCCTCTATCTGTCACTTCCTAGAATGGGACAAATATTGGTCTGGTTTAGCAAATGCAAATTATATTACAATAGCACGAAAAAAAATTGAAGTTCGTTATAGAACTTGGCCCAAAATAAGTGCTTTGTATTATTAGGGGAATATTACTCAAGTAAATATTATAAAACAGCTTATTTGTCTTATTCCTAAACAACACTAGTGAAACCTCACAGTCTTTCAAATTGAATATTGTGTTTATTAAGTATTAGTCTGTGGAAGTTCTACTTTGTGAGAAAATACCCTTTCTTACAGCATTTCCCTGCTACTTTTGTACTTGACCCTCCAGAAAGTAAAGACTGAATTAAGCTGCAGGTTCACTGTGGGGGTTACTATTTGTATTATTCTTATACTGTATAGGACCCTGGTACAATGTGACATTTTTATTATCTGGTCATATACTATATGAATATGAAATAATGCAGGTGGGAGAAAACGCTAAATCAAAATAATAAATTCAATTATAATACTTGTTTCTGTAAGACGTATTTTTTCACATTCCTCCCAGACCTGAATGCTCATCAGCTAAGTAAGAGTGAAGTAAGTTGAGTAAGATGGGCAAACACAACATGTCTGGGCATTTTCAGTGTGCAATGTTGTGGCAAAAGGTAAGATATAGGTCCAAGCTCAACAGGAGATCAGGTGGTAGAGAGCTCAGCATCATCTGGGAGCAAGTGACAGCTGCTTTCCTGCTGTCACATAATCTGCTTTATGTGAGACAAGAATCCTTATGAGAAGCAGTAAAAGAGGGAAGATTTATGACAGCTTTTCATATGTGTAAGAGTTTCCCTAAAGTAACATCATTTGAACAAGGAAAATCTTCCCACACTGAAAGGTGGGGGCTTTGGGCTGCCATTGAGCTGTGAAATCAGTGTTAGAGGAAGGTATCAATCATAGCACTGTGCAGAACGTTGTGGATCACATCTCCCAGTAAATTCTGGTGTCAAAGGAGGCTGAGGACTCCTAAGAACTCTCAAAGAATCCCAGGATCTCATTCCTCTTGGCTCACTCACCCTAACTCTTTTTAAAATTAACACCTAAGCACATAATAATACTCTCTCATTTCTGTTTTGTAGCATTGTATTACAGATTACAAAAATTAAATAAATAGTTTGGCTGGACAGTTGAGAGACTCAGGCTCTGTGATTGACAAGCTCAGTTTAGACACAGCTTTTGCTGCTTACAGAGACCAGATCTTGCTACAAGTAGAAATATTTCATGCACGTAAGATGCCATTAATCAGATGATTGGCAGTTTTTTTCAGCCCTGAATAGTGATGATTTCTGCTCCTGTTGACTCTTGCGGGTTTGCTTGCAAGAAATTCACATGTTCTCATTAGTAATTCTGGATAAAATCCTTTCCTCAACAAGGGAATTGTGTGCTCTTTTAACCAGAAAAAAAAAAAGAAAATAAAAATGCTCCCATTTTACTGGGTGGTAACAGGGGCTCTGGTGATCCCAGCCATGATATACACAATCTACAAAGATAGAGAAAAAAAGTACTAAAAAGTATAATTTAAGTTCGACCTTATCTTGTGTTCAAATGTGACATTCAAGTTCCTTGTTCAAATATACCACCTGCTAGTATAATCATGCCTCAGAGAGTCTTTAGCAAAGGAACACATAAACTCATGATCTATAGAAACATAGCAATTTGTGCAGATATTTCTTAAAATGCAGAAGATTACAGAGGCTACCACTTAAAATCACATAGTGAAATATTAGCCATACCTAAGTCAAGGATTTTATTGCTATTAAGATCACTAAATACTGCAATTTTTAATGCAGAGTAAATGGGACATGCAGGCACCACATATCACCTCTTCTTCACTACAATATCTCTTTGACTGTAAGAATCCTAGCCCTTTGTAGTTTTTCATGTTAGTTTTGACTAAATATTTTGGAATTTGAAGGTAGTTACAATGAAAACAACTGCTGGTTTATAAATACAGACCTTGAATTTAACCTAAACCAGAGATATATTACATGCTCTATCCATGGTTGACTGAGTCTTGCATGGTACATTGAGTACTGAGTTCTTTTTAAAGCCCTGAGCCACAACTGCCTTGACCAATTGTATCATTTATATCTGTCTATCCAGACTAAATGTAAAAGGAATGCTTTTACTATTATAGAAATGTATCAACTTTGCACAGGCACAAATGACATGCCTGGAGAATCAGACCTCCTTTCTGAAAAGAAAGGGTACTTGGAAGCTCTTCCATCAAGATTAAGAATGTCAAAGTCCATGTATTCCCTTAAGTTTCTATACGTAAAATATAGGTGTTTATGTCAAAGAATGATACTCCAAAATTATTTTTTTTTTATTTTTCCTTATGAGTCTTGGACTATCCTCCTAAAACCAAATGTTTCTAATATCATTTTTTCCCAATATCTGATTTGTGACCATTTTCCACTGTTATATAACCTGGCGGTACTGAAAAAAAGCTTGGTTCTACCATCTTTGGAACTAACTTTCAAGCAATTGACTCCGATGCTAAGAGATCTCTCAGCCTCCTCTTCCCCTGAACAAAAAAGTCTAGTACTCTCAGTTTCTCATCCTGAACCTTATGGTTTGGGTCTGATCATTTTGATATCTCTCTGCTGGACTCTCCAGTTTTCCAGGCCTCATCTTTCAGCCCTCCTGAGCAGAAGAGCCTTCCGCCTGTCTGCTAACCATATTCCTATTCAAGCACCATAGAATGTACTTGCACTGTAAGCAGTTCATCCCATTTGCAACGAGTGATCTGTTGGCTTATACTCAGCTTGTTGTCCACTGTGCCTCCGGGTCCTATTCAGGCACTAATTCTTTAAACTGTATCAAGGCCATGTTTCTCCTTACTGAAACTAGTGAGTTTTCTCAAGAAGCTTACAACGCACTCTTGACAACTGCCAAGGTCTGTCATTTATTTTGTCAGCCATTCTCTCTGATATTATGCTATTTCTGAGTCAGCTGAAGGTATACTCTTTGTCATCATCCAGGTCACTGATGAAGATAGTGTACAATGTGAAGCCTATCACTGATGGCTGGGTGTCCAGCCATTTTTCAACCTGTTTTCAGCCCAGATGTCCAAGCAATTTAAAATTTATCTCCGTCCACATATTCATTTTTCATACTGTGGGATAAAGGGTCAGAAACATTTTTGATATCAAGAAACACCACCATCCCCTTGTTCACATAGCCAGTCATTGCACTGATGATGGCAATCATACATTTAAGGATGATTTACCTTTGGTACAATGAACTGATATTCTGATTATCCTCTTTATGAACTTGAAAATAGATTCCAGGTGCATGTTTATTTATATATCCAGGAACTGAGCTAAAACTGATCGGCCTACAAGTCCTGGTCATTCTACCTGCTTTTAAAGGATGGGCATAATTTCAGACACTTCCTGTCATCAGGGCCTTGTTACATATCCAAATTGATATTGAAATGGTGAAAAATGAAGAAAACAAAGAGGAAGAGAAAACATGGCATCAGACTTATTTTCTATTTCCCTTTGCAGTTTCAATGGTCCTGCCTTTATAGAATCTTTCAGGGAAGAAAACAACACAAAACAAAAAAAAGGTAACATTTTTAAGGTTCTAGGGCATAGATTTTTTTTCTTATTTTTACTATTGTGTAAGGCATTCAAATTTTTAATATTATGGTAGGGATAGGATAGTTTTGTAATTTAACAGTTCAGAAAAGCTGGAAAATAACAAACAACGTATTGGGATGTTTAAATGTAATTTTCCCTGCAGTCTCTCACTACAGCAAGGCCATCACATTGAGTTAGTAGATGAAAAAAACTTGCTAGAGAGAGTAATTTCTTGATGTAAGACATGCAATTCAAGGAGTAGTAGCTCCTCATTCAAAGATAAATTAAAAGAAAGAAAGAAATAAAAGAACCAAACAAAATCAAAAGAAAAAACTAATTCAAACAGTTAAAATATTTAGCTTTAAAATACAAAAATGTGAGATTGTGCTAGAGCAATTCTGTGGTATTATTACTAGAAAAAAATTACTAAGATCAAATTTTTCCAACAGCAAATGATAACGAAACAAAAGCCCAGTAATCCTTCATTTCCTCAGTATCAGTTACTGAAGAGATCTTGAAATATAAAGTCCTGATATTATGTAACGATTTTTGGTGACAGCAACACTTAGTAGCATTGTGTATATTGACTACTTCTTTTGCAAATTTACTGACAGTGCTTTAAAAATATATGCAGTTTTGTAAAAGTTGATCCTTACAAGCATAATACAGAAGAAAAAACAGACTAGATTTATTGACCAAGACTAAGCTTATGTGTATGTGACTTTGCTTTTTTTAATAAAATAAATTTAATAAACCATGTTTGCTTATAGACATAATTCTGTATTTTTGCAGTTAAGAACACCAGATAACAATGCAACTACTTTTATGCAAGGTAAATAACAGCACTATCTTCTTTTTACAGATGGTGGGTTGAGGAAGAAACTTCAGAGCAGCTTTTTATCTACAAAAGCCTAAAGTTCATTTGTCATACCCTGATTATCTACATTAAAAAAAAAAAAAACAAACAAAACTCACAAAAAAAAAACCCAAAACCACAAACCTGATCTTTTTTTGTCAAGTGCCATTTCTTTGTCAGAGACATTTCATTTGTTAAACCTGGAAAAATGCCAAAAGAAAAAAGAAATTCATCTTGATATTCAAGCAAACACCTCTAGTAAGATGTCTAATTCGTGAGATGAATCCTACTCATAGTCTCAGTACAGCTTTGTACCCAGATTAATAGAGTATCTGAAAAACATCATAGAACCTCAACGTGTACTTATGCCATGTTATGTTACTGGACAAAATTCCCTTTGTATATATTCATGGTTTTGACATAGCTATGTGCTACTGCTTCACCTGGTTTCTATCAACCGGCACCTCAGGAAATCTTCCATCATCCCCATATCACCATTGGCCAATCAGAGCTCAAATCAGTCCAGCAGTTTAATTTCCTGGGTAACCTCATCTCCTTGGAGGGTAAGATTGACGGAGAGATAGACAACAGGTTAGCAAAGGCATACAGTGCCTTCGGAAAGTTTCATAAAAGAGTTTGGCGAAATAAACATTTGAAGACAAGTACAAAGATCAGTGTTTACAGAGCCATAGTGCTGTCTACTCTCTTATATGGATCTGAATCATGAATCATCTACCACCACCACCTGCGTCTCCTAGAACGCTTCCATCAACACTGCCTCCGTACAATCCTAAACATCCACTGGTCAGATTATGTGACCAATACCTCTGTTCTAGAACAAGCAGCAGTCACAAGAACTGAGGCCATGTTGCTCAGAACACAACTGCGCTGGGCAGGGCACATCTCAAGGATGAAGGACCACCGCCTCCCCAAGATCCTGCTTAATGGTGAACTTGCCACTGGATGCTGCAAGACAGGAGCCCCGAAGAGAAGATACAAGGACACTCTGAAACAACATCTCAGCTTTGACCATATTGTCCACCATAACTGGTCTACTCTGGCCTCCAATTGGGAGGCCTGGAGACACACCATCTATAACGCTGCTGATGCTTTTGAGAAAGCACGCAGGATCACTCTCAAGGAGAAAAGACAACGCAGAAAGATTCATACCTTGCAGAATATACCACTTAAGGAGCCTTTCTGCTGTACCTTTTGCAGACGTGCCTATCTTGTATTGGCCTTCTTAGCCACCAATGCACTTGTAACAATCGTGGGTAGAGCCCTTCCCAAATCTTTGTTCGTGAAGCCTAGCCAAGATGATGATGACTTCAAAAACTGCTACTAGAACTATAAAAAAGAAAAGAAAGAAAGCATAAGGTAACAACATTGAATGTTAAATATGGCTTAAATATTAACAGTATAGCTTTTTTTCCTTCAACTGTATACTCTACATAATCTTTAGATATAAAGTATGATATATTGCCTGTTTTTATTTTAAAATATATTAAAATGCCTAAAAATACTATTTTTGAAAAAAAAGAAAAAGAAGGCAGGCAAGACAGCTTGGAGCCATCATCGCTATTGTTAATTGCAGACCAGAAATTAAAAAACAAGAAAAGATGATAAGGAAAGAAAAGGTGTACGAAGCCTAAACTGTAGTACTTCATGGTGGTGATGACATTTAACTTTTTTATTAGAGAACTACATAGACCCACAGATGCACACATGCACACACACACACACATACACACAGTCTCTCTCCTATCAGCCTAGCAAAGACCAAGCAAACTTGTAGAAGGATCAAGCTGTGTAAAACATTGTTTTTAGCTGGTTCTCCTCTCAGCGGTTCTCAGCAGTTTGTCAGAGAATACTCTCATTAGCTGAGTTGGAGCGTTATTAAACCCAAATTAAAAAGAAAGAAGAGGAAAGTGACAGCAGAGAAGCAAAACACATACAAAAGAGAAAACCCAGCTTCCTTCTTTTATCCTTCAGAAATTTACGTCAGTACACAGTGGGTGAATAGGTAATTTGTATTTTAAATGCTGTTATATACTTGATGTTAGATACTGTGAATCTGGGATAGGACACACAAGTTATATATTCTATGCAAAACTAAGGATTTAGCTGACATTTCTGGTTATCATCTGGATTCACATCTCTGCTTGCTTCCTTTTGGTTATTGTTCAGACTCTTGCTCATTAACTTAATGGTGCTATGTTTGATTTATGTATGTTTTAGGAGATTTGAAGGTATAGATGATATTCAGTTAAAGTAGCTCTATTCAGTTCTTTCCTTCTAATATAAATTACACTTTCTAGACAACTGTAATCAGTAGATACCCAATTGAATCATGCAGTTAGAATTAATGTTCAATATATCAGTTTTGACTAATTAATGGTAATTTCACAATTTTTTTGTTTATCAAATATGATCTCTCCTTGGATTAAAAACATACAGAGGCCATGTAGGCTAGCATTGACTTTAAGCCTTGGCATCACGAAATTAGCAATGCTTTCTTGGTTGATAGTGCCATAATAGGTAAAACTAATGACAGCAAATTAGTCTAATTTTGTGATATTCACAACTTTAAATATGGCAAAGCCATACCACTGCTTTCTGTCACAAGAACAGTCCTTAAGAGGGAACAGAGGTGTACTGAGAACAGAAGCTGATTCACAGTAACTGACAATATACCTGCTCAGTAGGTTTGAAATATCAATATTATTGACCTTGGTATGAGAAACATTTCCTTCTTGTAGGAGATCTGCCTATCCAACAGTCAGAAAGTAAGAAGTGATTCATCAGATGGCAGATTACTGGAAGAAGAATCATTTTGTTCAGAACTAGACATCAACATTAGTTGCTGTTCATCCTATGATTGCAGCAGAGATAGAAAGCATTACCTTTTATTTTAGAAAAAAGGCCTGTCAGGATTTACTGATTAATGGTTTCCTTGCATAAAACTGTGAGTCATCTTCAATGGCAGTAATATAACTGGAGTCAGAGTATTTGTCTGTGCATTTGTCAGATTTAACAAGGTAATTATTGTCAGGATGAGACACCTTTCAAGGAAATCCCTAAATATGCAAACATTAGCTTTGGTGAGCTAATTTCTTAATATAGAAGTACCCCTCCATTACGGAAGAGGGAGTGGAAGAACTGCCAACTTAGAGGTGTGGCATTTCAATGCAGAGTAATGAATAACTTCCAGAGTAATAAAAATCTTTAAAGTTTCAGTGATTTTTCATGATGGAAAAGTTAACCTCAACTATTTCCATATTGCATTCTATCTTGCAAACAAGCTTTCAAACTCCAAAGATTGAATTATGAGTTCAGTCTCTCGTTCGGGGCTATGTACATTTAAACAGCATCGTTGTCCTGTACAAAAATTACTGTTTTATGAAAAGGAAGAAATTTCTCTGTGTGTAATGCACACAAAATAAGCTGGGTTCTTTTGCAAAAGTGTAAGATACATTGGAAAATTGCAAATAAAAACTACCTTTTATATTTGTAAAAATCTGTCACCTTCTCATTTATCCAACTAATGTCTTCTAGTCTTGATTGAGTTTGTTTTTTAATAAATCCAAAACTCAAAGAGTGGACTTTCTTCAATTTAAACATGTTTCAATCTCTCTGATCTAAGTAATATTTGATATTCCTCTTCAGGGCTTCAGCAGATTTTAACTCATTTTGGCAACATAGAAGTTTGAGGTCATGTTTATGATGGGACAAACATTTTTCATTAATAAATAAATAATAATAAAATTTATTGTGATGTGTCTGGAACAACTGTGTGTATACAATTTCCAGTGCATAACTTTATAGTTTATTTATTTTTAAAAATTGGTCATTCCGTAGTGAATAGTGATTTTGTGTACAGTAGTCTTTTATAGCCTTTATAAATGATACTCATATTTGGGTATGATGAAAAACAAACCTTTTGAATGCTGCTGTCAACTTATTTACACTGTATTCCTATCGCACTGTATTTTAAGACTTTGATTGAAAAAATCATGTGCAACAAGTAGCTATTATGTGTCCATTGTTATTAATTAAAGTAAAATTCCTCTATTTATTTTTTTTATTTGATACTATTGCTAAAAATAACAACCATTTAAATTCTTCAAATATTTTCTAATAATTCCAGTATTAAACAAGGTCCAGAAAGTGATTAGTTTAATGCTGTTAAAAATATTTGCTTCATTTATTTCACAGTGTTTTTATTGAGCTTTTTCTTCTCTTTCTAATATCAAATTTCACTAAAAGAAAATAAAAATGAAATAAAATAGGTATTGCCTATAGTGTTTTCAAATATTAAAATGCACTTAAAAATACTTGCAGTTTGTCTTAACTTCATTATTTCAATGTTTAATGCTTTCCATAAGTGAATTGCCATTAACATCACATATTAGAAATCCATTTTGTGTAATTATTACTAAGGGAAAGTGCTTTTACTTTACAGAAAAAAGGAAATAATTATATATCGCAAATTTCAATAGTTTAGTACAGTACAAAATAAAATATTAAGAGAACTAGCTCATTAAAAGTTTAAGAGCAAAGTCAGGCTTTATACAGGATCAGATCTTTTTGGTTGTGATAACTCAGTGTTTCAGAATAGATGCAATTTCTTACAAAAATATTTTGACATTTGATATTTATGTAAATAAATAACCATCTCAGGAACAAAAACCACAAAGGTGAACAGACACATTAATTAAAAAAAAAAAAAAAGGGAGATTTCCTGTTCTTTCTTAGTTTTTTAAAAAGTGGATCTTTTAAAAAGAGATAAATTATTTCTGACATCATAAAAAGTTTAAAATTTTGGCTTCTGATATAGTCATGACAGAGAATAGCTAGAACTACAGTATCCTCACTGTTGACTGGAACACTAGGTAATTTAATTGATTTCCTCCATATGTATTTCCTCTACTATATTTTTAATTAATAGTCCATTAAATTTGAGAATAATCTTGGATTTAGTAGTTGGGGAACTTAAATTGACTTCATAAAAGAGAATGTCAGCTTGATGTCACTCTTTAAAATGTAACCAAGATTGATAGCATATAGACAAATACCCTTTCTTCTCTAGGATAAGACAAACTTTG